AAAAAGGACAAAAATTCTTAGCTCTAATTGATAAACACTTCCCCACCAATTGTAAGCTTAGTAATATATTTAACAAGAACACCCTAAAATTGAGTTACAGCTGCACTGAAAATCTAGAAAGTATAAGAAAAAAAAACACAATAATAAAATCCTGAACAAACCCCCATGCCTGAATAGTATTAATAAAAACCCTACACTTAAATTAGAAAAATTATGTGATTGTAGAAACCCAGAAGACTGTCCATTGGAAAATAAATGCTGCGTCAAATCTGTGGTATACCAATGTACTATCTCATCCATTGAGAGTCCTAATACTAATATGATATACATTGGGTCTACGAAGAATGAATTTAAAGCCAGATGGAGGCAGCATAAGTGCTCTTTCAACAATATAAATTAAGAAATCAGAATCTCTATCTAAATAGTTTTGGCATTTGAAGGAAATGAATAAAACACCAAAAGTAAAATGGAAAATTATAAACACAACTAGAACTTGTAAAACTTGGGAAGACCCATGCCCTTTATGCCTACATGAAAAAACACACAATATTAAGTTTCTAAATAATATATATATAAATTCCCAACAGGATAGAATCCAGGTAGAACTCAATGTCAGGACAGAGTATATATATATATATATATATATATATATATATATATATATATATATATATATATATATCCAAGTATATAATTGGTATATACGGAATGAATTCCAGTAACCAACAATTACTATTCTTAAAAGAGTGCTCAATACAAAGTAGAGCAGATATAATTATTTTTATAAAAAAAATTATAACATAAGTATGTTATAAAATCACTACAAAAATAGCCATTTTGTTTCAACACACTCTGTGTCTTATCAAGTGATGATGTTGAAAAAAAAAATTTTTTTTTCAACATCATCACTTTAGAAAAAGAGGTGCATGTGATAAAAAGAAAGAGAGTTCTTAGAACAGGGACAATTATTAAAAAGATAATATATATATATATATATATGTATTTTCATATGGTTAATATATTGTAAATTGGTTGAAAGTCGAGAGAGGTTTTGAAATACAAATAATCTAAGTGCCGCTTAAATTATTATTTCTAAAGGAATTAAAAGAATCTAACCCACATATGCATAGAGTTGATTGACGCAATATTCAATATACCTGGATATATTATTATTTGATTATGGCCAACTTGTTATTCTATATCCTTCATCATTTTTAAACAATGGTTTGTTAATTTTTCTATTGCTTCGACTTTCACATTATATATTTATTGCTTTTCAGAAATCTTATTTAATGATGCACCACATGTTTTCTATTGGATTATTAAGTAAATAGGCTCGTGAGACGTTCAATTCAATTGGTATTTTTGTAAACTAATTTTTTGCAAGGATGGCAATCGTTAACTTTGTAGAATGTTAAAGAGCGTTGTACTGTATGAAGGTACCATTTAGTGTCGACCCCGTTGAAATATATCGAGCACAAATAAAATCTCTACATTTAATAAGATAACTTTATCAATTTTGAATGGGACAATAATTTTACTGTCCACAATAACAAAACATTACTCCAACCCCTCGTTGTTTTCTTACTAGTCATATCGATTAACTATTTCCATGAATTTTCTTAGTTATAAGGCCTATCCAATGTAGCTCTAAACTCATTATTCAAAATTACTTTGGAGAAATCTGTTTTCATTTCCTTCTTCAACCATTTAATATATTTCTATTGCGTTTCTATCAGATAGTTAGGTAATGTTATTAATATTCTGGCCAATAGATTTTTCATGTTTTCATGTATTTTATTTTTTCTAAAAATTCTAAAGTTAATTTTAAAATGTTTCCAAAGTATTCTCTGATCTCTCTACACCATTTCCAAATTTCTAAAGTTTCAATTATCCAATAAATTTTTAATATTTTTCACTTTTGACATTATAACTTTCTTAAAATCCATAATAAACTATTGGACAATGAAAATATTGTCAGCAATTATTCTATTATATATATATATATATATATATATATTTTAGGTCAGATCAGACTTAGACTTGTTATTGATAACATGTAACCAAATACAAACTACCGCATAGATGTTTAAACGGGCTCCCATACAAGCTTTTCTGCTGGTGAGGAAGGTTACATGTCTCCTGCGGGATGAAAAATGAAACCCCTCTAAGGAAGGATGAACCTCCAATAGAGAGCAACAATGGTTACACACACACACATACATACACACATTTATATATATATATATATATATATATATATATATATATATATATATATATGTATATATGTGTGTGTGTGTGTGTGTGTGTGTGTGTTGCGCGGGGTCGTAAAATACCTGATTTGAAGTATAGGCGCGTTATCAGACTCCTAGTAATTTTTAGGACACCTTTAGAAATGAAGGACACTTGTTTCTTTTTGGGACGGCCACTAGGAAACGGACGTTCTTATATAAAGCCTCAAGTTCATTTGATTTTTCTTTGTCGCCACCTTTTTTTGTGCCACTGGTGATATGCTCAAGTGTGCTGAAAATTCGGTTTAGTGCTGTGCAACGTTGTATTCCCTCAAAATAATTCACGCCCAGGAATCTCTTGCACTGTTTGGAACGTTAATTCAGCGATATGGAAATCATCTTTGAAATATTCATTTGGTAGATATGAGATTGGAGATGCTCCTAAATTTGGTCATTCGTCGACTTTCACCTTATATACATATTTAAAATATTATTTACAACACACAGCTTGCATAATAAATTCTTGCACCAACATATAAATTATTATAAATCTTTACAAAAACAAAAAAGTAAGATTTATATGGTGAAAATCATTTTGTATATTTATCATTTAAATATAAGCATGCATGACATTTTTTTACCAATACAGATTTGTTAATATCAAATTTATTCGGGGAATATGGACTTGCATATTAAAAACTAACATAGTGTACGTTCATATATTTCTGTATCCTTAACTTTCTCCCCTTCCGCATCTCTCTCTCTCTCTCTCTCTCTCTCTATCTATCTATCTCGATTTGTTCATTATATATATGTCAATTTATCTATGTATGGATTCCGTTTCAATCAAAACGTATTCAAACATATATCAAAAAGAAGAAATAAAAGTAGCGAAAGAAGAACAATATAAAAAGGAGATAAGGAGTAACTTTGAGAAGATAGCAAAACAACAACAACAGCAGCAGCAGTAAGAACAACAACAACAACAACAACAACAATAATAATAATAATAATAATAATGATAAATAACAGTAATAGTAATAAGATAATAATGATAAATATCCAGAAAAAAAATGAGCATTTTGTATGTAGTTGCACAATATTCATTAACATGGAATATAAAACTTGGCATAATTGAGTGACCCAATATCTGCACTGGAAAATATGCAACTTTTACGGGAAGGAAACTGCACGAAACTGCTATGAACATTACCCGGTTACACAGAATAAGAACTGTAACCATTCTGTTGGACTTTACAATACAAACTAACGGATCAATCAAATCTAATCACCCAGCAATCGGGATCAAAAACCACACAAATAGGTTGTGCTTTCTTATTGCCATGAACGTTCCTGCAGATTGTAATGTATCTTTGAAAATCTTAAAAAAATCTATCAAAATACAAAGATCTTGAAGGTGAAATCTCAAAAATGTAGCACATGATGACATCAATAATTCCTGTTGTAGTTTTTGCTCTCGGTCTGATGAGAAAAGGTGTCGATAGAATCATGAAAGGGATTCCTGGTATCTACGGCTTAAAGAAATACAAAAAAATTGTACTCACAATAACGGTTCACACATTAAGAAGAACTTTATCTAGGCAAAATATGCACGATCTTATGTTATTTTTTTTAACAAAAATGATCAGGGGAAGATGTCATGAAGACCTTTCTGGCTATAGGCCTCTGATTGGGATCCGAAATGAAATGTGTATACAACAGAAATCAAAGGAAATAATAATAAAAAGAAGAATAATTAGTTTTAATCGTTTCGCCCAAAGCAAGACAATGAAACTAATATGATGCAAGGGGTTATTGAGTGTGAAAAATATCAGAAAGAAAGTGATATGTCCCGAAAAGGGATATATTTGTTCGAAGTAGCAAAGTGGTTTTGGACTACTGTAACCGGGTAGGACAATCTAGCAGGTAACCGTAATGGACTGGTCCTCGTCGTAGTGGTAGGCAATAGGCACAGGCAATAGGCGAAGACAATAGGCGTAGCCAATAGGCGTCTTCCTGTGCCTCCACGTCAGTCTGTATTTATGGCTGACACCAGACAATCATATTACCGTGAGGAGGGACCAAGGTGTATGCCTATTCACTACATCAGAAATAAACACTTTTAAGGAGAGAGAATAATAAAAGAACATGAATTAAGAAGGCAGAATATAGCGATTGACATTGCATTTAAATTTTTGAAGATCAAAGTTGGAGGGAAAGGAAGAAGTTGAGAGAGAGAGAGAGAGAGAGAGAGAGAGAGAGAGAGATCCACGAGCGTGATAGGTGATAGAAGGAACTGTTAGCATAGAACTTACGGTTACGTCTAGAAATTAAGAAGCAAGTATGTGTCGCAAATAAGACAGCGGACGTGCGAGGATTTATATCAAACAATTAAAATAAAAAGAAGTCAAAGAGAAAATGCAGAGTGAAAAAAACTGAATAAAAACGACAGAAGCAAGCAAGAAAGAGACGAACAAAAGTAATTGACGAACTAAAAAGAGGAAGGAAAAGAGAAAGAAGCGAAAAACATTGAAAAAGAAAAAGAAGATGAAATGATTATCAGAAGAAAATAAAAATTCATTAAAAGTAACAAAATAAAAAAAAAAAAGATTTAGAAAAATTTTTTAAAAGGCAAAATTAGAATAAAATAAACTTTAAGAATAAAATAACCTTTAAGAATAAAATAACCTTAAAAACGATACAAAAATGATAAGGAGAACTAAAAGGAAGTAAAAAGAGGAAAATGGACAAGCGATGAAGAAATACTTAAAAAAAGAAAGAAAAAGAAGAGAAAGAACAAAAATAATAACAACAAAAAAGACTATCAAGGAGTAAAAAAAATGACATGAAATATAAGAGGCGGAGAAAAAGTAAATATGAAAAAGAAGAAAAATTCAAGAAGAAAGAAACCATCAATAGATGAAAAAGATGAAGAAAAGCAGAGACAGAGCGGGAAAAAGTAGCAAAAGAAGTTATAAAAGCAGTCACAAAATGCGCCGAAAAATGAAGATAAGCTGAGACAATTCTAAAATGTAAAAAAAGAAAAAACATATATATTTTTTTGTGAAAGGAAGAAAGAATTTGGTTGTTAAAAAGAAAAGAAATTGAACTGCTTTGTGATATTTATTCATTCGTTATTCATTTTTCCATTTTGCGATTTTTGAATCAATTTTGGCAGTGCAACGTCCAATATCCTGTCTGCCATAAACAAATAACAAAAAGAAAATGGCGGGCGTTTTAAGAATCGGCCCGCCAGACTTTTCCCGCCCGCCGTCTGCGAGATCAGCCCCCGCCCATCCCACTGTCTACTACAAAAAAAAAAAAAAAAAAAAAAAAAAAAAAAAAAACTAAAAAAAAACAAAACAAAACAAAAACAAATAAAAAAAACAGCAACAGAACAAAAGCCCAAAATCAGAGCAGGTTTCTCTGTGCAGGACATTTTTGCCAATAGAATGGTGAGAACGGTTGAAGGTAAACAAGTCATTTGCTATCCTTTCGGGCATACGTTGAACACTGTCTGTCCAATGAGTGTGTGCATGTGAAAGTCATTGGCCTTGTGTCTTCTGTGTATGCGTTAGTATTTTTGTAGGGGGAGTTGAGTTGGTGTATGAGCAATAAAGTATGTGCTCTTTTTACCTTCTTTTTTAGAATATTCAATCATTTCATTTGAAACCTTGAGATGAAGTATCGATTTTTGCCGATACGATTTGAATGCGGGGATCCGTCCGTTCGTTAGACATTTTCTCTCTTTTTTTTCTGCCATTTTTATCTTTTACCTTTTCTTTTAATTTTGTCTTTACCTTCGTAACAACCTTTTACGATTGAACGTTCTTTCTTTCTTTCTTTCTTTCTTTCTTTCTTTCTGTCCTTCTGTTTTTTTTTTCGTTATTTAAACATTTTAGTATTTCTTTCTTTCTTTCTTTCTTTCTTTCTTTCTTTCTTTCTTTCTCCTCTCTTCATTGCTTCCTTGATTTCTTTCTTTGATTCTTTCTGTAGTTCGTTCTTTCCTTTTCTATCTTTCTTTTCTTCCACTGTCTTTTATTGTTTAGTTCGTTTCTTTCTTTCCTTAGTTCTGTTGCTCTTTGTTTATTTCTTTGTTTTTTTTCTATATTTCTTTTCTTGTTTCTTATACTCAGACGATCTATCTATCTATCTATCTATCTATCTATGTATATATTTATATATTTATACACACACACACACACACACACACACACACATATATATATATATATATATATATATATAGATAGATAGATAGATAGATAGATAGATCGATCAGCTTTTTTGTCTCCATATTTAAAGATTGTGTTTGTTCCGTTCTCGGTTCTTATCTGCTGACGATCGCGTTGGGAGTAAACATGACTAGTGATTTTGATATGGTCTCTTTCTGTTTCGTTGGTTACTGTCTATTTATATAGAGGTAGAGAAAAATGATTGCTACTAGTTTGTTTTCTGACAAGAATTTGGGAAGATCTACACTTTTATGCACAGTTCGTATATATAAAAGAATTGCACAGAAGACAACGCCTCCTATTTTATTATGTTGGCTCATGGCATTATACATACATACATACATACATACATATATATATATATATATATATTTATATATATATATATATCAATTACGATTGTGTAGTGAGTTCAATCTTCACTCAGTGTTTCATTCAGCTTTGTGCCACATGCACAAGCTACGCTTGTTGTATATATATATATATATATATATATATATATATATATATATATATATATATATGTCGTTTTTTCGTCTGTTCCTGCCGTTTCAACGCACTACACTTGACATCAAAGTTCGACCTGTCTCAAAGCATAACTATGTATGTTGTATTTTCGACTATTTTAAAATGTGTTAGCAATAAGATTCGTACTTGTATAATTTCCTTTTAGTAGAATCCTCAAAGTAAGGAACATTTCTGACTTTACACTAATACCATTGGTGATTATTGTTTCGTTTTCATTCCTTTATTTTTCTACTCGTTTAAATATTACTAGAATTTTCTTAATTTTTCGTTTCTGTTTTTTGTTTGAATTCTTTTCCTTTTTTTCTTCCTTGAATTTTCCTTCTCTCATTCAAATACTTTTTCTTCTGAAATTCTTTCACTCAGTGATTCCTTCTTTCATTTGATCCCTTTTTCTTTTTCCTACATAGAATCATTATTATTTCCTAACTCATCCTCTTATAATCTCCATCTCTCGGCAAACACACACATATATATATATATATAGTTTATTTCTATCTCCACTTTCTTTTCTTCCTTTTTTTTACATCTTTTGTCTTTCATTTCCTTTCATTCTCATTCAATTCTTCTTTAGCTTTCTCCGATGTTCGCTTTTCCTACTTTCAGCTGTCAGCAATAACTACAAAGGTAAATCAGTGCGATTCAAAATAATCGAAATATTGTAGGCGGTCTTTTTGATTCCGATATAAGATCAACATTAAAGAAGAAAATGAAGGAAATTCGAGTAAACACACGCACACACACACGCACACACAAACACACACACACACATATATATATATATATATATATATATATATATATATATAGAGAGAGAGAGAGAGAGAGAGAGAGACAGACAGACAGACAGAGAGAGAGCGATTGTGTGAAAAACATATATAAAAAGAAAGTCAATGGCAGACCTGCATTTACATGAAGATAGAAACAATGAAGTTTATATAAAAACCTCAACCAATGCAAGACTCGAGAACCACTTAGAGGGTTACTGATAAAATGCTAATGGCGAATGAAGTGTGGGAAATGGATGAAAGATAAGTTTGTAGCTGGTGAAGATGACGAGAATAATGACGATAGATTATGCCAGATCCTTGACTTGTAGAAGCTAAGATTATATGTTGTTCAGGAAAGCATCCACGACGGATTCGGATTCAGAAACTGTTAGTTCTTGGAAAAAATCTGTGTGATTGTCTTCTTTTTTGGTATTTGAAACATGGAGGAAATGAGGGTGATTCAATTCCGTGGAAGTACCATGGCGTCTTCGAACTGTGAAGGTCTGGAGAAGCTAGAGAATGAACATTTGCATTGGAAATAATGAAGGTGTAGCGATAGGCTAGTAGCTTTATGCCTGTGGGGAAAGATGTTTCAGAGTGGAAAAGAAGTTACAACCTAAAAAAAAAACAACAACTGCATAGTATATATATATATATATATATATATATATATATATTCGTCTTATTCGTTGATACCTGAATTTTTCCAAAAACAAAATAATTTGTATGCCTGAAAATGACTGAACGTACAGTAGAAAGGACTTCCGTATTTAAGGAAGACCCAATATAGTATATAATTTTAAAAAGCAAGGTTCATAACATTCATCGAATGATTGGTAGGTTAATGCATTTTTACAATTTGTTAGCGAACAGATTTCGACATTTTATATCATATATCATTAACGTTAATAATTTACTTTTTGTATGAATGATTCATTGTAATATATATATATATATATATATATATATATATATATAATTAAATCAGTCGAAGACTCTCCAAATTGGATTGAGTTATTTGGGTCGCCTTTCTTTCTGCCAGGTCTCGATAGCCTAGGGGTTAGAATCTCCGACTGATGCTAAATCTGTCGGGTCTCGGCTTGAAGCGATCGGATGTCACGTAATACTGAGGAGCTGTGATACAGCGAAACACTCTGTCTGTGGATGTGGATAATAGATAGATAGATAGATAGATAGATAGAAAGGAAAAGAATAATATAGAAAGAAAGAAGATGTAGATCATATAGATATAAAGAAAACTACATAAAAAGAAGATGAGGACAAGAGAAAAACCTCGAAATTGCATACTTACATCAATATATAATTGAATGTCTTTAAAAAATTTGAAAGAAACAAGAGATTTTATCAATTATTTTCTTTTGCCAAACAACCGTCATGTACGTTTCACTTTAACACAATTCATTGCTAATCAGTTTCTTATTTTAATTTTTTCTGAACTTCTAAGATGTAGTATTTTGGTTAACTCTATATGTATTTTCGAATTTTTCGTTTTTCAACCTCTTTTCAACCGATCTATTCTTAGGCCTTGCTCAGGAATTTATATCGGGTCGAGATAAATCACCTGATAGTGTTATTTCTTCTTACTTTCATTACTTCATCTAGAACAACACATTTAAACAGAATCGCAAAACTTGGTGCTAAGATCTCGTGCTAGTAGTTAACGCGAGAAAAGGCAAGAACAGGAAAGTTAGAAAGTATTGAGACAATTATCATTACAGAAGCTTTTCTACTTTGAGTTAACGAGTTCATTGTACAAATATTACAGTTCTTTAAATATATTTTTAGGAAAATAAGGAGAGAAAGAGAGAGAGAGAGAGGGAGAGAGAGAGTAAGTGTGCATGCTTGAGAGGGAGAGAGAGAGAAAGAGAAAGAGAGAAAGAGAGAGATATTTTGGAGGAGATAAACATTTGAAGAGGGAAAACCTGACAAGAAATTAACCCGAGCAAAAAAAAAAAAAAAAAAATAAAAAAGAAAAAAAGTGCAACAGCCTTTTTAGTAAATCTGCAACTAAGTGGGTGAAGTGATCAATAAACCAAAATAATTTTTGATGAAGAATGTGAGAAAAGACATACAGTTTTGAGTATTGCAACTAACTTGCAATATGAGATACATACTCAAATTTTGGCAGGAGCTCGTCGACGCGTTGTGTAATGGTTAAAAAAGATCAGTTACAATTAGGTAATGAGTTCGATCTTCACTGGGTGTTCCATACTTTCAACCATCTGCTAAAACTAAGCCACGCTTAGCTATTCAAATCTTCCTGGGAGACTGCAAATGTTTTCAGCACTCTGTATCCATTAGTGATCAACAATTTTTCACTTTTAATATGTGTAACTTGACATAACATCTTGGGAGAGATAGTGGCGTAGTTTCTCGTTGCCCTCTGTTAGACTGGAATCCTGTCAACACAATATATTCCAGTCTTCCCTGATATTTAACACATATATGTGGAGAGAAGAAATGGATTGATTCTTATTTCAAAGAGCATTCATGCAACGTGAATGTAACTGCCTCAACTGGATTTTGAACTTGGCTCGCCGGTTCCATTTTCCGGGCAAATATCTGTTATGTTTACCGTGCATTTAGAGACTGAATGCACAATTGAAAACTTGCTTAGATGCACAATTGAAAACTTACTTTTCATTGGAAGTTTTTATTTGCACTTTTATTCCGATTTCACATTACAAAATTAATCTTTGGACGCTGTATTAGCCAAAAATGTTGTAATAAATATGCAACAACTAAAGAAAAAAATCAATTTAAAGATTAATAAAGAAATCAACATTGTTTTACAGATTGGAAGAATAAACGGAACAGTGAAACTGAGAGAATAATGAATAAATACTTTTTTCCCCAAACGAATTCCAAAGAAAAGATGGAGTGTTTCTCTGTGAATTAGAAATATGGACAATTTTCGTGTTAGTTCTATATTTTTTCTATTTTGCTTTTAACATAATATATTGGTCAATATGTTCTTTAACCTTCCTCGGGTTTATGTTGAAGCTTAGAAGTTTACAATACTCATTGAAGGTTAACTCGGAGATTCGTGATTTTTCACTCGTCAGGAATTAAACTAGAATGATTTCGTAAATACAATCATATTGGCCAGGATTCATACAAATAAGAAAACACGAAACTCCAATTCGTTCTCCAATAATTGTTGTGAACTTAAATTATTTGGGATATATATATATATATATATATATATATATATATATATATATATATATATATATATATATGTGTGTGTATGTATGTATGTATGTATATGTATAAGCGATTGCAATTAAAATGAAAGAAATACTATTAAACATTAATCTTAGAATTTTAGACAATATCGACAGTTTTATGTCGGTTCATCCAAGTATAACTTCGTTTTTATCCTGTCTGTATTTGTGACTCTAACAGTCGACACACGAAACTCTCTAGCTAAGAAATTCTTGCGACTCAAATGGGCTATCTTTCATAATTATTTATTTGCATATTGTCAGCTTCAAAATAAAGCGATGTATATTATATTCATTTTCCTTTTATTCTTTTATTATCAAGTTACTTCCTACATCTGCCATTAAATTGTTTTGAATTTAGGGGTTGTTATGAAGTAAAAAAAAGGCTTTATAGTACGTGATGCTTCATGGAATACAGCAATGTATATTAAGGATTCGTAGAGAGTTAACACCTTATTGTTTGACATTCGAGAATATTCCCTTCTTTCCTGTTTCATATCACTTCAGAACGTAGAGAATTATCGTTCTCCATAGATTCCTGTTTTTTGTTTTTTCACTAATATCAACTCGTTTCTCTTTTTTTGTCCTTTTTCTTTGGATAATTTGAAGTTAAAGAAAGTTATTCACTGCCATTCTTTTCTACTCTTGCTTTCAATATGCAGTACATTTTAAATTCTCGAAGCCTTCTTTCTTTCTGAGGTGTGTCCAAATTTTTAATTGTCTCTGTATCGACTTAAATAATTGCTATGAAATTTCCATCAATTAAAATGAATCGGTAATATTTAAGTACACCCGCTGCTGAAGAGTGATAACTTCGATATTAATAGTTCATTCTTCTATAGTTCAACAAACTTAAATAAATAAGAATAACTAATGTTTTTAAAACATTGACTAACAACATTAATTAAGTCAATTCGATTACTTCATGACTTTTTTTTTATTGCCTGGAAAGAGTTATGCATCAAAACTGTTAAGAAACTGTGAATATTGACAAAGTCTTTAAGGCTCCAAAGACAAATTAATGAAAGCTTAAAGGATCTTCTCTTAGGATAGGTAAGAAGGTTGTCAAGAAGATAATTACAAAGTGTTGCTACTGAAAATAACTTGTTGTCGGTAATCAATATTTAAGTAACAACCACACCTCTTACTTATTAATCAAGTATTATTTATCTCCAAACAAAAGTTTCAAGTTTACGTTTAGTTTTCGATACAAACAAGTTTTATTACTTTTCCGACTAAATGTCTACTGCAATCTTGAAGCTGAATCGCAAATATGTTAATCTCGTAAGTCATCGTTAATAACTTGAATCCTCATTGGGGACATTTCAAACAGAGGTACATAATGTATAATTTTGTATAAACTTTCGTTGGAAAAATCAAAAGATGAATGCAAAATGTTGACAATTCTATTAATGTAGAAACGTGTTAAAACATAAATCCAAAATTTATGTGATAATCTACTGGAAGTTGTACAAAGGTTTTCGACACATAAAAAGGCTTCGGCGAGCTGGATTCGAACACTGATGAAGTTTGGATTATGTTGGCTACATGAGTTCTGTCTTATCATCAGAAAAGGTCACGTCACTGACATGACACATCAGTTAAGGGAGAGGAGAGTGGATGAGAAAGTACTTGGAAAATCCTTTTTTTTCCATACCTACTTCATATACACGGGGCCGAACAGCAAATGTTTTTTTTTTACTCTTGACAATAATAATTTCAGTCCTATTCTAATACCTTACATACTGTTATATTGTTATATAACAATACCTATTCTTATATATAAATTCTTTTCGCCATGATATACCTTTAATTATATAATGTTGAGTTAATAAATGACATTACGATTATTATTATCATTATTATTATTATTATTACTATTATTATTGAGTATATAAAATTATATATAAAATTATATATATATATATATATATATATATATATATATATATTATTTTATATATTATTTTATATATGCAGTACTCAATATCAGTGATAGAGCTAACATATTCACTTGTATGTATATGAGTTTGTGACTCTGGGTTTCACGAAAACGTGAAAATCCAGTGGTGAAAAAACAAAACATCATCATCACCATGTCCACACACAGAACTCACTTAACCAAAAAAAAAAAAAAGGATGAGAGGCCAAGACCAGTAGGAGTGTATGTGCACATCTACGCGTGTGTATGTGTGTGTGAGGAAGTGTAAGTTTGCCTGACGACGCAGAGGGCCGATCTGAAAAGCGTCAAGAACACCCCCACCTACCCCTTGTGGAAATAACATTGCTACATACAGTCTCAAGATCAAAATAGAATTATAATTGCGTATGTAGGTATGCCCGAACGCATGGATGTGTATCTGCGCCTAATCTCTGTTCATACGGGTGTATTTATGTGAACTAAAATGCATACAGCTGTACGTATGTATGTATGTCTGTGTGTGGAGGAGTGTCATCCCAGATGGACACAGAGGAGAATTTCCCCCTTCCACCAAAAAAACATAATCAAACACAAACAAGCATATAAAGATTCAATTTTAAAAAAAAATACGCCAGTTTGTCTGATGATCGCAAAAGCGTGAAACCAAGGGACACAAACTCATATGCAAACAACTGAATATATATATATATATATATATATATATATATATATATATATATATATATATATATTTAGATAGATAGATAGATAATAAATAGATAGATATAGATATCAAATAATATGGTGCAGTTCAGTTTATATTACAATTCATCATTCATACAAAAAGTAGATTAGTAAAGTTAATGATATAAAATGGCGAAATCCTTTCAGTAACAAAATTTTAAAGGTGCATTAACCTACAAATCACTCGATGAATGTTATGATCCTTGTTTTTAAAAAGTATAAGCTGTCAAATGTCTTTCTTTAATACGCAAGTACTTTCAACTGTATATTCAGTCATCTTCAGGCATGGAAATTATTTTGTTTTTGGTAAAATTCAGGTAGCATCCGAGACGAAAAATATAATGCGAAACGAAATGTGTGTGTTTTTTCTTTTCTTTTTTTTTTTTTTTTTTAAATCTGTTATTGATTATGGATACAAACTTTTGGAGCGTGCAGTCGCAACGCTAAGGTTGAACTTTTTTGAAAATTTAACAGAGTGCGTGTTTTACTAATATGGCAATTTGAGAAATTTTTTTGTTGTAGGAGTTTATCAGTCAATGTGGCATGGACTAAATAATTCAATAAATAGAGCAATGCTTTAGTTGTTATCCCGAAAATTTGCACGTCGGATCAGTTCTTTTAAATCAACCGTGTGGTGCAGTTCAATTTATATTACAATTCATCATTCATACAAAAAGTAGATTAGTAAAGTTAATGATATAAAATGGCGAAATCCCTTCGCTAACAAAATTTATATTATATATAAAAATTATATTTTTAGTATTGACTTCTACCAGAATTTTACCAAAAACTAAATAATTTCCATGCCTGAAGATGACTGAATCTACAGTCGAATGTACGTGCATATTAAAGAAAGACCTTAAAATTTTAGCTTATGATTTTAAAAAACAAGGATCATAAGATTCATCGAGTGATTTGTGGGTTAATGCACCTTTAAAATGTTGTTAGCGAAGGGATTTTGCCATTTTATATCATTAACTTTACTAATCTACTTTTTGTATGAATGATTCATTGTAATATAAATTGAACTGCACCATATATATATATATATATATATATATATATATATATATATATATATATGTGTGTGTGTGTGTGTGTGTGTGTAGCAGGATTGTAATAATGATAATGATAATAAAAATCTTTAATATTTTTTTTGTTGTAATTTATGATCATTAACGAAATCTTTCAGTTGAAAATCAATAATATGAAATCCTCATATTGTTATATTTTTTTCGTTTGCATAGTGTATATATGACGAGTTCAATCCTCATTTTGTTTCTCTCAAAACATCACATGATACAATCAAAACATATCGTTCAATATCCAACGTACAAATGTATGTGGTAGCATAGGTCGATTGGTAAAAATTATTCTTTACTAGCATGGCTCTTCATGTAAAGGCATTTGTTGTTTATGCTCTGTATGAAATTGCGTTGGTGTGTTTCTTGCCGAAAATCCAAGTGCAATTTCATTGATCAACGGTAGGAATTTTCCCATGCCAATGTCACTGGGGAGGGACGTCATTCTCACTGCTGTAAAATCCACTATTCCCTGAAGCTTAAACGTCTTCTAGAAGCACACAAGGGAACCAGTAAACATTCATCCGTAAATAATGCAGAAGTTTCGGAAACTTCTATTAATATGAAGTTAGATCGGATTAATATCTCACGAGGTGACATCTGACATTTTCTTATGGAAAAGGACACTTTTTAAAATGACCACTTAATTACAATTATCGCTAAAAATTATTATTATATTGTTTCAAGTGTCAAGTGGTCAGAAATCTGCTTATATCACAAATACATTTTACAATATTCTAGCTAATGGTGAAACTGTCTTAATCTGAATAAATTCAAATTGTTGGACACTGATAATGTCAACATGCATTGAGAACTAAGAAGTCATTCGCATATATATTATGAGACTACTGAGAAAATATTAGATGTATATATATTTACATATAAAATAAATAAAATGAATTAAAATAAAGTACGGTTTATAAAAGTATGTATTGAAAGAAAGAACAAAAGAAAGGAAGAAACAATGAAGATATTAAAAACAGAAAGGGAGTAAAAAGAAAGAACGATAGAAAAGAAAGAAAAAAGAAAGAAAGAGCAGATATATTAAGAAAGAAATAAAAGAAAGAATGAAAGGCAAAGTGAAGATATTAAAAAAAGAAAGGGAGGGAAAGAAAGAAAGAACGATAGAAATGAAAGAAAAAAGAAAGGAAAAGGCAGCTATATTAACAAAAAGAAGAAAAAAAGAAAGATGTATTAAAAAGAAAAGAAGGAAAAAGTAAAAAAAAAATCCTCATTCCCTTCGTATTGCATTCGTAAAACGGAAATTCCATTTGGACATTTTCCTCCCAAGAATGGAAGAAACTCCTAAGAGAATGCTTCCTTAAACTCTACAATCTGAATCTCTTTAAGTTTGGTGTCAACCGTTACATATCATAGGTATACTCATAAGTTGCATTTACTTCTCTCTTCCCCCTTTTACATCCATACAAAAACCAAATTTACTAACCCTCTACCTTGAGTAGCTCTCGGTCCTTCCATTAGATGAATATTTATTTTTGCACAGTTCCTAATGAACTACTATTCGCACGTATTTTTCTTTTTTTACTAGCCTTTTGTGCTAGATTGTTGTACTTTTTTTTCTGAATTTCTTGCTTGTTTTTTCACAATGACGACCCTGGCTGTATGTCATCAATCTTCGTCTTTATATAATTAGTTCTTAAAGACTTGTTTTAGGCTGCGATACTGGCTGATTGTAATTCTTTTATCAAATCACTTTTTGCATAGCCATTGTCATCTCATCCATAGTTTTCTATTTTCACTTGTTTTTCGTTTGCTGAGAGCGTTGTCGTTTGATTAGCATTAAGAAACTCCAATGAATTTAAATAGATTTTAACCTTTTCCTCAAAAGTTCATACACGCTCAATCTCTCTCTTTCTTCAACTTAGCATGGCACACAAGGAGAGAGAGAGAGAGAGAGAAACAGATAACAGAATCTACTTCGATTTCCCTTGCTTCACATATATTCATCGCTACTGTACTTAGTTGAAGGCATCTTGAATATAAATTTGGTATTATAGATACAAATACTACTACTACTACTACTATTACTACTACTACTACTACTATTACTACTACTACTACTAATAATAATAATGATAATAATAATAATGAGTATGAAGTTTGTATTGTGCCAAACGTTAAAATATTATCTTCGTTGCCGAATACTTTATTTCAAGTTTTGTACTCAACACATCATCATCATCATCATCATCATCCTTCTTCTTCTTTGTTGGGGTGTCGATGTGCTGAGTTGTCCACCAGTCCCCTCCATCTATCGCGGTCGTGTGCCAGAACCTTGGTCTCTGCGAATGTTTTCTCTATCCATTCCTCGATATTGTCATTCCACCTTATCTCCACTCTTCCCCTCCTCCTACGTCCCACCATGGTTCCTTGAAGAACTGTCTTTGCAAGGCAATCTGATCATGTTACGTGGCCATACCATTTCAGCTTCTTTTACTTCACAGTAGTGAGAAGGTCTTCTTGAGGCCAATGTGCGGTTAGATTACATTGTGTTCTTGATGATGCCCAAGATAGATTCTTATTTCTAGTGTTTCTATCTTTCTCTGTAGCTCAGCTGTGAGCGTCCATGCATCCAGGAATATAAAGGATTGAAGCTGAAGAATTATGAATATAAGAACAAAACAGGCCATAACAGTGTTGCGTTTCAGCTAAGAGTCATTACAGCAGACTTTCTCCTCAATAACTCTCAAATGTAAACATTTTCTATTGTTATTAACTAATCTACTATAAATTTATTTTGGCAAATAGTTCCATTGTTAAAAAGCGAACTATTCCAATTCTACTAAATCTAACAGTTGTCGTGAATTAATTTCAATTTCTCCGAACAAATCTCTTCAGATCCGGACACATTCCAGATTCTGATTCTGTTGTCTTTGAGTTAAGTATTTCAGCAGTGAATCTGTGCGTTTAGGATCCTTATCATGTTGCAACGTGAAACATACTCTCTACAAAAGTTGCCTGACAGAATTCTTCAGATTTTCCTAAAAAAATACGAAACTCATCTCTTGTCATGGTTCCGGTTTCTTTAAACAAATGACCGATACTATCTCCACTAAAACCCCCTCAGAGCATAAGATTGCCACCTCAATGTTTTACATAAGGCATGGTGTTCTTCACCGTACCTGATTGCGACCAAACTATCTAATTTTAGTTTCGCCACTCCATAAATCTGAGTTATATCATGATTATCCTTTGCCAAGTAAGCACATGCATAGTTCAATCAAGTCTTTCTTTTTCTTGGACAGTAATTACTAAGAAAATGTTTATTGAAAACTGCTTGCTGATAATCTTAGATTTTAATCTTATAGCCTCTTCGATGAAGAGTTGTAAATGTTTTTGTCTTATTATTTTTTTCAGGAATAATATTGGCTGCTGATAAAATGCTGAACTGATGCTCGAAACATCATTCCTGAAAGCGTTCACAACTCGCTTGTTGTTCAATCCACAATGAGTAAGTTCCATCTTCGCTAATACATTTCAGCTGATTCTTTCTGATTTTGAACATAAGGTTCCATTTTATTCCCATTTTCCTTAAGACTTTCTTGTTGCTTATCTTCTCTGTACATGGCGTTTCAGCACACTTAAGTAGAACCACATTTCTGTTGCCTCTAGTTTTCCGTTATGAGAAGAGTGTCTAGAATTCATTGCCATCGAAGAGGATTCACATTACATAAAAGTTCACTACTCTTTCCTTTGTTTCTAATGATATCTTTCTGTCTTTAAATATTTTGCTTAGCTTTTAGAAAGCATGTTTTACTATTCCAATTCGCGTTTCGTTATCACACCTCATATCCTCTGTTAATAAACTTACTAGATATTTAAACTTTTGTAGTTTCCATCTTAGATCATTTTTGTTGTTGACAACCATACATTATGTCAGCTTACAGTTAATAATTAGTCCTTTCTTCTTGCTTTTCTTTACTACCTTGTGTGGGAAGTCCCGTAGTTTTCCCTCGGTGTCTCCCATTAACAAGATCATCTACATGTCATATACTGTTCAGATTGTATCCACCAATAATACATCTCGGTATAGATATTCACATGTATATAAAATAAAGGAGTTTGGTCAATAATATCAAGGAATAAAAAGGTTAAGTATTTACTGATGGCCTTTTCTTTTCGAGGACTGACAGAACTTAGATTCTTTCGGTTCTTTCGGTCGAAGTTTTGTTCATGAATCAAAAAGGACCAGAGTCGACCTCAGTAGTTGTGGCTGTGGGTTCAGGAGGCAACTGGCTAGTTGGTACGAACTCCTGTTTATATATGTTTTTTGTACCCTCTAGAACTAAGTAGAAGTTTCTAGAGACTTCTAGAAAGTTCCATTCTATTATTATCTAATCTAAAGGGTTTGGTGAATGGGAGCTTTTCGTAAGGTAAAAAGGCATCTAGTAGCTATAGATTTAAGTCATCATTTTAAGCTAGGTTTTGTATTTTATGGTGTAAGTGTAAAGAGGTAGGGAAAATGGGGCCTCGTAACAGTAGTGCTACAGATGGGTTTATTAATATCTTGTACGATGCCACTGCCATTACTATATCACCAAATTCATGATTTAACGCATAAATCCATTAAGATATTGTCCCGTGGATCAAATCTGTATAAAGAACTTGGAGCCCTAAACCTATCCTAACTGCTGATGAGTGTTGCAGCTGCCTCTCATATTTGACTGCACACATCGAAGATTCTCTTTTTTCTTTTTTTTTACAGCTAGTGCTGCTGTTGCTGATGTCGAACACCTGCTCTCATTTGTTTTTTTTTCTTTATTAGCGGATCTGATATGATATTTATTCATATGCTAAGTCGAATAAGGGTGTTCTCATGCACTGATTCTTTCAGACCTCTAATCATCCAGTGTTTTTCCTTGTACAGTATTTTCCCTTCATTTCATAAAGTTTAATGTCTAGGCCATCCCCTCCAATCGTGATCAGCCGTACTTGATTACACTGTCTCCCGCTTCACTTTGGTGTTTTTGATGTTCCTCCAGCCTTACTTTTAGGGAGCGGCGAGTTTCACTTTTATATTCTTTGCCACAACCACAAGGAAAGAAATACAGTTCTTGGCAATATTCTCCCCCATGTTAGGGTTTACACTGCAGATATTTCTCTGAATAATGTCCTAATGTTGTATGGACCGTAGATTTGAATCTTTTTCGTTTTGAAGCAGAGAGATAAGTTGAGGACAATAAACTACATGTAAATAATTTAAATAATTACAATTTAATTTATTCTCACCTCAGAAATTTAAACGATAAAACATCTTTAACCTGACAGCTGAACAGATTAATCAATCTTTTAAATTCGCAAAGGTTTTGGATAAAGCTTTGTATAGGCAAAGTATATTTGCATATAATCACGCACACACACAAAATAAACGCACGTGTGCACGCATGCACGCATGCACCGACGGAAGCGCGCCCAAGCACAATAGGTCTTAAGTTAATTTTTCTGACTTATTCTATGACTGAGTCTTCGAAGGTGTTCAAATTATTTTCTAAATGCACACAATCACGATAGAACTCGGTAGACAGTAATAATTATCATTTCTATATTAGTTTATGCCGACGAGGTAAAACATATACACACACACACACACATATATATATATATATGTGTGTGTGTGTGCACGTATATAGTTTTAACAAAACTTTCATACATATATATATATATATATATATATATATATATAATGATACAATATGGTAATCCATATAGATTCAGGGAGAGCTCTATGTCAAAAGACAGAGAAAAATATTGATTAAAGAATATTATGGGATTTTAAGTGTTTGATATTTTTTAATAAATTTTAATAAAATAATAATAATATATATATATATATATATATATATATATATATATATATATATATATATAAATGAAATTTCGTTAAAAAGGTACTGCAGTTAATATTTTTATTTAATTTTTCTTTTGTTCTCATATTTTTTTCTTTTTTAGACATTAATTTTGTAGAAATTGTCCAAATGTTCTGTATAAACATTACAAAAGAACCCCCCAAAAAACGAGGAAAATTAAATAAATCTTAACAGCATCAAACTGACCATAGTTTTGAAAGAAACTTATATAAAAAAAGGGATTGTTATCCCAAATTACACAATTATATATATATATAAATTTGTGCATGTATCAGTAAGTACTTACCTATGAGCAGTCCTATTAATTAATGTGCCTTTTTCAAGAGAGATGCATAGTATCCTCTTAAACCCATGACAATTAATTCTCTCTTTCAGGCAGATGTAGAATTTTACACACATGTATAAATTTCAATTCATATTTAGTAGCATAATCGATCTTAAATGTACCTTGGTGCAGAGTATCGAATGGCAAGATACTAATTAGGATACTACCTCGTGTCAACTTTGGAAGAATCCAAATGAAAAGAGATAAAATACATTTAATATTTAACAACCCAATCAAGATTACTGAATGGATAAACAAAGGTAATGATAGAGACAAATTGAAGTAAATGTTATTCCATTTATATTATAAGGTTAATATGTTAGGATTTGGCAATATGGAAAGTGGAAATAAACACGAAATGAAAAAAAAAACACAAAGCGAATTGATGCGCAAATCAATGGTTTAAAACTTGCGATAAAAAGGAATATAAAAAATAACGTGTATGGGAGTTTTTATATGAATTGAAGGATCATAGAAAGAAAGAAAGAAAGAAAGAAAGAAAGAAAGAAGGAAGGAAGAAGAAGAAGAAGAAGAAGCAGCGAGTTATTTTGAAAGTTTCCACAAAAGAAGAAGAAGAAGAAGAAGCTATGAAAAGAGCTAGAAATTATTTGTTGATAAATCAACAAGAAAGCTGAAAGAATGAAACAAAAATAAAAAAAAAAAACGTGAGAAAGACGAAAGTAAAAATCCTAAGATGGAAGTGAGAAAAGAATGAGTCGAAATAAAAACTGAGAAGTGAAAAAATGACGAAGGATGTCACTGGAGACTGACAATAAAAAAAAAATCTGTGAAAACCCAAAAAATAGGAAAAAATTTAAAAGCTATTACTTGGAAATAATGTTCAAAGAAAAAAAATGCGTTAAAGAAAAAATAATTACAACTAAAATCATCAGGAAACTTGTTTTCACTTGATCTTCAGTAAAAGCCTCTCACGTTATTACTTGCACCAAAGCTCCCTGAACAGAAATAATAATAATAATAATAATAATAATACTAATAATAAAATTCGGTATGACAGAAAGGGACAATATTTGCACTAGGAATTCTACAACTTTTACTAATAACTAATTCCCTCAGTAGGTTGCCATTTCTTTCTGCGGTAAACCACTTGCCATCCAAGGCTATAGAACCTGGTCTGTTCTATTTACCGATAAATGGAGGGAGAAGGAGAGAATTCATAGCTTTCCCAAGGGTAACGTAAGTTAATGTAATGGATTCGGCCTTGAATGGATTACCGTAAAGCCTTTATTAGTGTGCCACACACTAGGGTCCTTAAGGCTTTGGAATTGTAAAAAGCCCTCTCGGTGATAGTAAACCGTAAAAAAGAAAGCAAAAGCAAATACAATGGACCAGATAGAGAAACGATGTCAAGATCTCTTCATGGTCAATATTCTCCCCGTATCAAACAAACTGATGTAGACAAACCCTGTAACCATTAGTGGCTACGTAGTGCAGGGTTAAAAACTGAAACCGAAAGTTTTATTCTTACTGCACAAGACTCTGTTTGCAAACTAAAAATTATCAAAAACTTCTACTGAAAAGTTGTGTTATTTGTGCAAAATGCAGATTCTGTGCTAAATATCCAGAAACAATTGATCATTTTGCATCAGGTTGCAGAGTGGGCCAATATCTGCACTGGAAAATATGCAATATTTACAGAAAGTAAACAAAAAGAAATTGGTATAAACACCATCCAAATCTGGTTATTTTATGGGACTTTAAAATACACACAGACAGAACAATCAAAGCTAATACCATCAAACTACATTGAAATCGTTGTTTCAAATATGTAGCAAACGAGGACGTTACGGTTGAGTTGGAACCCTCGGATTGTTTGAAAAGGTTTCCGATAGACTTATTGAAGGGATCCCCACTAGCCCGAGCATTAAAGAAATATAAAAAAGAAATGTATTCACAAGTACATCCCACAACTTACCTATGTAAAAATTATGTGATCTCAATTTGTATGTTTTTTTTCCGAAAAAAAGCTCATTGGAAAATGGCATGATGACATTTTTGACTTTAGGTCCCTCGTCGTGATTCGGAAAAAATGAGTATACACCAGAAATCAAAGGACTTATTCGTTATTAGAGATTGCAAACAAAAATCTCCTTATTGATATGGCAATCCCTGCGGACTTCAAAAAGCTATCAAAATACAAGGACCTTGAAATAGAAATCTTAAAAATGTGGCACATGAGAACCTCAACAATTTCTGTTGTAGCTGGTTCCCTTAGATTAAGTTGGAAAAAATTCCAATAGACTCAGTGAACGGATTCCTGGTAGCCTATACCTTACAGAAATATAAAAAAAATGTCCACAACTTACGAAGGACTTTATTTGTGTAAAATGTGTGTTTTTTAATTGCTCAGTGGAAAATCTTATTATGCCATTTCTGACCATAGGTCTCTAGTCGAGATTCGGAAAAAATGAGTACACACCAGAAATCAAAGGGAAATAATAATAATAATAATAAAAGGCTTTGGAAATTATATCAAAAGGAAGAAACAAATATGGAGGAATTTTCTGGTAGCACTAAAAAAATATATATTGCAAATAAATTATACTCTTTTTTACTTTTCATATTTTGAGCATATCCCTCTTCATGCACTGACCATGTTTTCGTATGTTTTCTTTCTCATTGCATGGCACCTCATGTTTGCATCTTCTGATGCCAAGAAAACTTGAAAAGCCGTATTTGTGGCGAAAGCGACAAGCTTGTCAAAAACGTTATTATAAATCTTGTTGCTCCTCCGTTAGTAAGTAATTTAGCAACACGCGTAAAGTCTTACCATTATATCAAGTAAATAATGGATCATTCCACTTTGAATGTGACGGAAAACGGAAGAAATATATATATATATATATATATATATATATATATATATATATATATCAGAGACGATGATTGGTTTTAGTGAGAAAGGGAAAGCATACGTAAGAAGCAATAAAGAAAGCAAACAAGAAATAATTAAAGAAGGAAAGAAAGAAAGAAAGAAAAAGGAATATAGTGGAACTGAAGCTCTCTGTTTAATATCTGCTTCAGTGAATTGTCAATTTTTTTATCTTTACATTTGTACCCTCTTACTTCTTCTGCATTCATAACTATGATTGCTATTGTAATATTTTGTAAACGTTTTTAAACTCAAATATTTAACAATGCAAGAGGGAAATTTCCACAATTATTTTATTTAATTAGTTCATATTCGAGGAACTCGCAAGGATCTTATTCAATCATTAAATTAAGAATTAGGATTCATCAGAATAATTCAAATAATATCGTAAAGATTTGGTTGACGGAACATGTGAAAAGTAAATAAAGGAAAACATTTGTTCAGTATTAAGGATTTTATGAAAACTATTATAAAAGAGAGTCAGGATTACAGCGAATAACGGCAGAACGTTGATGACGATCGTAAATTGTAACAAAAGAAGAAAAGGTAAAATATGGAATCAGAAAACTCGGAAAAGCGAAGCTTTAAATGAAATGTAAAACAAAAAACATTACGGGTATAGTAAATGAACATAATTGCGAAGAGAAAATTCGAAGAGAGAACCTGAATTCTTACACCAAGAAAAATATCTACAAATCCAAGCTAGAGATGACTTTGCAAATGAAGACTTAGAGCGGTATTAGGAAGAGATGAAATAATCAACACTATAAGAGAATGTAGCGAATAATCACAGAAAGAATACAAAATCGTCATGACTGTGTAGGTGACTTACCGAGAACTGTGCAAATTGTTTGGATTTACAATATAAATAATATATTGTATACAGCCAATCAGATTATACCCAAGGGAATATAAAACTTAGTTTGAAATTCTAGTTCAAAAACAGGGATGAATATTGACTAAATCATCAGATCCAGACTTTTTCAATATGAAGAAAACATTTTGAATGTTATTGTTCCAACAGACAACAGAATAAATTTCAAGAAAAAGTAGAAAAATATTTGGACGTTGCGAGAACCCTGCAATAAGTTGTCTCACCCAATTCTGGTTTGGCTGGAAGAGTCCCAGAGATACTGGAAGAATTGTGAATCCGATGAAGAATAGGAATCATCCAAGTGACTGTATTATTAAAATCAGCTCGAATTCTATACAGAGTACAAAAGTAGTGAGTTGCTGTTACGTAGTGTGGAAAAAGAAGAAGAAGAAGGAGGAGGAGAAGAAGAAGACGAAATAAATTGAGAATAACTGAAGGATATTAGGAAGAAGAAATGATTGAGCCAGAAAATAGCTAAAGAGTCTATGAAGAAGGAGGAAAAAAGAAAAAGAAGAAAAAAGAAGGAGGGGGAAGAATAAGAGAGGATACTGGAAAAAGGAAATCATTGAACGATATAAATAAGAAGGGATGCATGAACGAGAAAAAAAGATGGTGAATCTACGGAAAAGAAGAAAAACGAGAAAGAAAACCACTGAAAAAGACGAAGAAGAAAAAGAAAGAAAAATTGAAAAGGAAAATTTCTGATGGATCTGAAGAAGAAAAATAAGAAGAAGGAAGAAGAGAAGAAAGTCAGATATAAAATCATGGGATGGTCTAAACAAAAGATTCGTGAACGAGTAAACAACTGATGGGTCTACGAAGAAGGAAAAGTAGAAAAATTTAATGAAGGAAACCAATGAAGAATCTAAAGAAGAAGAAGAAAAGGAAATTGAGAAAGAAAATCCCAGGATATAGAAGAGAAAGAAGAAAAGGAGTAAGAAGAAATAGAAAAACAAAACATTGAATGATGTACAGAAGAAGAGATGCGTGAGCGAGTAAACAGCTGAAGGTTCTACCAAAAAGAAAAACAAGTGGAAGTGTCTGAAAATAATTGTAGGCTCTATATAAGAGAAAAGAAGAAGAAGAAGAAGAAGAAGCTATGAAAAGAGAAAGAAATTATTTGTTGATAAACCAACTAGAAAACTGAAAGAATGAAAAAGAAGTGAGAAGGACGAAAGTAAAAATCCTGAGATGGAAGTGAGAAAAGAATGAGACGGAATAAAAAAATGAGAAGTGAAAAAATGACGAAGGATGTCACTGGAGACTGACAATAAAAAAAAAAATCTGGGGAAACAAAAAAAAAAAAAAAGAAAAGTAAAAAAAAAGAAAGAAAAAAAAGAAGATTATTGAAAAAATCACAGAGAAACTGATCCGTCGTATGAGGCGGGTTGCAGTTTCTCTGTTTTATATGCAAGAGAAATGCAAAAATATTGAGCAAGAAATTGTAATCCATCTTCTCTCTTCCGTTCACTGCCACGGGAATCATTCTCAGTACGATCAGTCGACGTTCATCACAAGGAGAAAAAAAAAAAAAAGAAAGAAAGAAAAAAATGCCGCCAAGAGCACCTTAAGATCAATATTGTTATATTTTTTTATTAGAGGAAGAAGAAAAAAAAAAAAACAAAAAAAACAGCAGCAGCAGCAGTAATGCCAATCAAAGCATCATCATCATCAAAGTTAATGGAAATCAATTAAAAAAAAAAAACATCATCATCATCATCATCATCATCATCATCATCATCATCATCATCATCAGTTGGAATGTTAAAATCCTCTCCACCACTAAAATTATTATATTTATTCTCACTACCACTATCACCATCATAATCGACCTTTTCCCAATATCATCATCATAGTCACAATCTATGCCATGATTAACATATTTCTCGATACCACCACCGCCACTATTAATTTCATTCTCACCTCACCACCCAAACCAACATCATCTACTACTACTAAAGACACCAGTACCATTATCATCATCATCATTATCATCATGTTTAAAGAGCAGTGTCATCATTAACATTGTCACAAATGACAGTAGCAGCGGCATTAGAATCTTTTGTTTCACTTTGACATTTCCTGATCAGCACCATTGTCAATATAAACCTACCACCACCCTCTATCAACCGCACAGCCACCACCCTCATCATCATCATACACACCGTGACCGACATCAGCACTACGGTAAATCAACATCAGCAGCAGCAACAACTGGACAACCGTCATTATCAATGTCATTATCATGACAAACACGTTAAACGCCTCCACCATTATAACATTCAGTACTTACACCCACCACCTTTATTATAGGAGAGATCATCATCATCATCATCATCATCATCATCATCATCATCATCATCATCATAAGTGTAATCATTGTTATCATATCTCTCACTATCATCATCATCGTCGTAGTCGTCCTATTCATCAAGGATAACAATTACTATGGCATCTTCTTCGTCCTTCACATTATGAAGTCGGCATATAAACGCAAGAAACATGATTATCATAACACTATCGGTGTCAAGAGTCAGCGAAGATATCAGAATCTTCTCCGAACTCATTTTCCTCTCCAGGTTATCATTTACAACAAGATTAAATTTAGAATAGAAAAGTCAAGATCCTTAATTGTCTTTATGCTACTCACCAAGGCGATAACAGGATTTTGTCAGATGTTCTCTTTTTAGGCTGTCCTCAAGAACAGTTTGACGAAATAAATTCGCCGAGTAATTGCTAAAGTTAAACATTTTTTTCTTTTTAATTTATTTATTATACAATTTTAAGATTAAATGTTTATGGCCTTTGTTCACAATTGAAAGATCCGAAAAGGAATTACATAACTTACCTTGTGGAAAGAAATAATTATAATATCAGGAAGTACGGTATAGTTGCGCTCTTGTTTCACAGCCTTTTACCACGTTTCAGACAGCTTCGTAATTCCAACCTCAAGATCATTGTGGTATTTTTCTGGGTGATAAAAGCTCTACAGAAGAAGAAGACAAAGAAGAAGAGAGAAGAAAAAGAAGAAAGAAAGAAAAAGAAATGAGAAGAAAAAGAAAAAGAGAAGAAAGAAGAAGAAGAAGAAGAAGAAGAGGTGGGTGAGTTTGAAATTCATTGAAAGCTCAAAAGAAAAAAATCAAGAAATACTTATTTGTTGATAAACCTGAATGGATGAAAAAAAAGTTAAGGACAAAAGTAAAAAAAAAGCCTGAAAATTGAAGTAATTTTTACAGGCTTCCAAAGAATTGGAGGTTTTCACGCCGCCTAGTCTTAAATTTCCCCATCCCAACCGTTATTGCAAATAATCCATTTTGCTATCCGTGGTCGTTCTTTTCAAAAATGGGTCTTTTCTGCTGCGTTTGAGCAGATAGTCGAGGTTTAGTAAATGTTTTCGTTAAATTCTGAAGAACCGAAACATTGTAGCAATTCACGTATCCAAGGGTTTAAATTTGAATGCCTTACAACTGTCATTCAGAGATATGGGGAGTGTCCGCTAATCTGGATTATCTTTTTAAGATTTTTGAACATTTCGATTTGGTCATCATCAACGTTTGCCGCTCTTCCGGAAGGTTCCCGGTTATACAGATCAAAATTTATACTTCTGTACCTAGTGAATCACCTAGAAACACTACTCTCAGCTATAGAACCATTCCCATAAATGACACATATATTTTGTCCTGTTTGAACAACTTTTCGGAAATAAAAGGCCCTTTTCATTTATAACATAAAAAAAAATTAAAATTCTAAATCTACACACGAATCATGTAAAAGTGAGTCGAAATGTCATATTTCAGAATACGTATATCTGCTTTAAATTCCAGTCATGTGTAAAATGAAATCATGTGTCCAAACGCTACACATTGAAAAATATTACGGTGTTTCTTTCCAGTTCATCACTGCTACCACTACCATCACCATCAACTTTACTAACTTCATTATCACCACCCCCACACCACCCCCATCATCATTGATTTTTCCCGCCCACTCTTATAGTCACACTATCGCCACCACTAAAACTTCTATGGTATCTTCCCACCCACGTATAGTCTAACTTCAAGCGCCATCATCGAATCTCCATGACAATTTTCATCATTATATCTTCACCACCACCACAACCGCCACCACCACCATCATCACCACCACCACCACCACCATTATCACTGCCACCGCCCCCATCATTATCACCACCACCAACACCACCACCATTGTACCTTCCTAGCCATCGTTATGTTCATGCCCACCAATATGCTCTCACCACCAACACCATCATTGTATCCGCACCACCACTACCATCTTCCCAACAATTCATGTTATCACAACCGCCACCACCGTAATCGTACATCATGGTTCACCACTGGTCACCTCAACTACCATCATTGTATCTTTATCACAACCCCAATCATAATATCTTCGTCAATAAGACCACCACCATCGTAGTTTGCCACCCACAACTATATTATATATTACCACCACCATCACCACCCCCTACCACCACTACCACCACTATCATCGTCTCTTTGGGTGCTTTAATGTGCGGTAATGGATAGCAAGCCTGTTTCGCTAGATCATTTACGACTGAACTGTGAGTTCGATCTTCACTGGGTGACCCATACTTTCGGCATTATGCAACATCTAAGTTAGGTTTAGAAAAATCAACATCGTATCTTCACCTCCACCCCCACTACAATTAACATCATATCTTATCAACATCCTACTCATCATTATAGCTCTACCATCTTCACAACCACCACCGCTTACAACAACAAAAATATCTGAATATCAACGCCCCTCTCTGCACCAAATATTCACGGGCGCATTCCTCATGTCTACCGAAGAATAATAAGCACCAGACAGTAATTGTAAGGGGTCTCTTTGGTAGTTGTAGATTTAAACATACGCCCATTTGAACGGAATGTGGCACAAGGCTGAATCTAATGTGGGGAGGGGGGATCCACCTACATGTTCAAGGACGAAATATTACTCAAGCGCCCCGCCCGCACTCAAGTTGGGGACACACCTTAGATTGAACAAAGTCTATTCAAAATGTTTGCGGAAAAAATGTAATTAAAAACAAATGATTTTAATTATGAGCTATATTTTTTCACATCGCTATCAAGGCACTTCTGTAAGCGACGATACAATTCCAAAACAACTGAGGATCGTGTGCATCCTGGTCTCAAAATGGGAACCTTTTAATATTTGTTAAGTTTATGAAAGAAGAAAATGGTCAGAAGTTGTTAAATCATAACTAATATGTATGTCTACTGATTTCTCATCGAAATCCTTGCAATGTTCCACTAGTTTAATGAGAGAAACGAGAAGGATCATTGACGTACTAAAAAAAAGTATTCCCCGATGAGGCTTTCTTCCTATATCTTTAGCTATTTTTTTTCAAAACACTTTTGTAATATGCAGATGGTTACTTATTCTTATTTTTAGTCTTATTCTTCTTCAAAATGTCAACAATCAAAATACCCGCATCATCCCAGAAAACTGTCGCCATCAGTTTTCTTTGTGACTGGCTTTCTTTTCCTTTGATTGGACCTTTTTACCTCTGGTCGTCTATTGTTTTAATTGAGCTTATTTTTCAGGATCGGACATATAAAACCAACTATTATCTCCAGTTGCAATTAATATCATTTGTTTCATGACTGAAAACATCGCTGACTTCTTCAATATATCCATCTTTATGACGTGGCTTCCCACTGTCTTTTCTACAAATATTTTCATGACAACTCCTTTGACAAGCTTTTTGCCCTGGTGCTACCCCGACTATATGAATTTAAGCGTGCTTCTAGATTGGCATTTAGGTCCCACCCTTTTACTGTTAAAATAGCTAAATGCAACCGTCATTTCTACTCCAACAGTTTCTTTTCTCGCACTGTATCGTCAATCGCCATCTTCTTATGTTCTTGGATCATCTTTTGTCCTTTTCTCGATCCTCCCTATTCCCAGTCATCTCTCTGTAACCCCTGCGTACTAGTGACATTCCCGTCTTGCTTTGCGTGAAATGATTAAAAAAAACCCAAAAAACTCTATTCTATCCACACTTATCACCACCAATCTCACGATCTCCGCCCGTTTCTCGGTTCTGGATGTGATAACAACAACACTTTAAAACCAAGAAAGATTATTTTGAAGATAAAGAATGAATATAAGCGAATATATTTAATCATAAGAAAACTACCTTGTGACAGAAATAGTTACATATTTTTACCGATGCAAATGTTCGGTGTTCAAGCCTAGTTAAAGCCTAGTATACTCAACTGACATTAGCCCAATTGAAAAATTGGCACTAGCACAACCAATCTCTCCTCAATATGACCTTATGCCATGCTATGTATAATTTGCAAATATCTGCATTCAGTCCTCTTCATCACATTCGGTGTCATCAACTCCATTTTTCTGTTTATTCCAATTTTGACAGATTAGTTTTAAGAATTATCAAGAGCGTTTTATCTTTCGGACTTGGATCAAAGCGTAATATCAGTTCTCTTCACTTTAGATGGGAAAAGGCACCTGATAGCGGGGACTCTAACTCTGTGTCATCATCATCCTCATTGCACTAAGAGAATGTCTGTGTAAGATCTGGTATGAAAGTTATCGCAGTGTCTGGGCATTTTCTGTCATTGGCACATATGTATGCGTATCCACACATAAAAATGATACACCCCACCTTTACTGGGGGAAATAAAAGCAAAAAGGTTTTATCATTATTATCGGTTTCGTTATAAATATATTTCTATAATAATAGCATAGTATTTATAATAATCCACTATGATCAACATCATGTCTATAATAATCCACTATGATGATTATGATAATCATCAGGCTTATTATTGTAATCTCCGGTAAATCATTCAAAAGCAGCAGTTACGGCGTTGAAGGCCAAGGATCTACGTTGGGAGACGACGGCGGCTGTTGCAGCGCCATCAATTCTTGGCCGCGGGGGCAGAGAAACCTGACAAATGATATCCGTCATATTGATTTGAGAAGATGAGGAGAGGTGGTAAAATTGATAGTGGGTAGTGAGGATAAAGGTAGGTTTCCAGAGCGTTTATAGGATGGCAATGAAGAGGATGGCAATGAAAAGGAGAAAGTGGAAAGAGAAATGGAAGGAGAGCGAAAACAGTGACTGAAATAGAATTACATAAGAACTAAAGAGGCAGGGGGGAAAAAGAAAAAGAAAAGAAAAAGAGAAGTAACAGAAGAAGGAGGCAGAAAAGAAACAAGGAATAAGAAGAAAGAAAACGAATCAGAGAGAAGGACTTTGATCAGGGAAAAATACATGAATGAAAGAAAAACGAAAGAATGAAGAATTGAAGAAAAGAAAAAAAGACAAAGGAGGAAGAACAAAAGATTTAAATTAATATAACCTACTTTATAATAAAACAATGACTTATATATATATATATATATATATATATATATATATATATATATATATATTATATATTCATTTTTTTCTTGAGTGACCTATTTAAATTTATTTGAAAGAGTATTTATGCTCATAAAATAACTTTTTGTGTTCTATTTATCCATTTACAGAGCCGTTTCACGATTAGCAATCTTTTATATAAATATATATATATATATATATATATATATATATATATATATATATATGAGAACCTAAAAGAAATCATAGGTAGTAACCACATTTCAGGGGACAAGGTAATCCGTAATAAACTAAGAAGAAAAACAACAGGATTTTCCCAACCATGTTTACAACAAAAGAAGTTTATGTTGCAACCATATTAAACACAAGAATTCATTCACTAGCTCAATCACTAAATCTACTTTCAAAATCTACCACGATTCTAACTGTAGAAGTCATAAAATACTTTACCCCCTAGAATGCACACTATGCCAGAAACAATATGTAAGAAAATCTGAAGAATGGCCCTTTCACTACATAATTAATAATTATCGCAATCGAATTAAGTCGACTCCCCATGAAAAATTACCTGTAGAACAACATTTCCGCCTGGAAAAACACGATTTCAAAACCCATGCCAAATTCACTATAATTGAGAGAATAGAAAGGTTCAGAGCAGATAACATTAGAAAGATTTTAGAGTCCCATGAAAATAAGTGGATACAACGTCTACAAACACAATATCCAGCCGGGCTAAATCATAAATTTAACAATATAGATAGTACTAATATATAACTCAACAAATCAAAACCTACCCACATTTCTCACCCACACAAGACAGACATGCTTACGGAGGTGTTGTGGCCTCACACTTATACACACACCCACACGAATATACACACTTACACACATCATACTCACTCAGTCCCTAATGAGCCAAATGATAACATACATCCACAGCAATACACACACTTACACATATCATACTCACTCACTCCCTAAGAACCAAATAACACGCATACAAACACTAAATAGAAACACATCCCCTCTCCAAGACTAATAAAACTGTCAAACTGACCACGGGAATTCAGAAAAGCATAGATCCATCCAGCTCTTATCTCAAATAACAACTTAAAAGAGACTGTTTGACCAACACAAGGAATGTTAAAAGATTCATGTTAAAAAGATAAAAAAATAAAAAAAAAAACAAATGAAAACTACAGACAAAAGTTCATTTTCTCCAGCAAGACATTCATTTCTGTAGTTTACTGCTACCAGCAAGCAGAAATATTTCTTCTCCCGATGATGGCCATTTCGGCCGAAACTAGTCGAGGAATCTAAATGAAATAATAATAAAAAAAATGAAAGAATACTAATCTTCAGTGTGTCTGAAGATTTTAATTTTTTAATATTAATTTTGTAATATTTTTTTATTGTTCAATATATATATATATATATATATATATATATATATATATATATATATATAGAGAGAGAGAGAGAGAGAGATAGGGTGCGATGGATGAATTGTCGTCTAAATTAGGTAAAATGAAAATAACGCTGATATCACATTTTAACAGATATATTTACCAACATTACAAAAATATCTTGAAATACTGAAGAATAGATTTATTCAATAAAATCGCCATTGGCACTAACCCCGGTCTCCAGACGACTTCGGAATCTCATGTAATTCTTCAGTCTCCTTGATGATTGCTGCCATAATCCTGGCGTTCAGTGCATCTTTGGTGTTACAATGACTTTTTTAATTTCTCGCTCAACTGCCCCACACATAATAAGCAGTCTAGGGTTACAGTCTAGCGAGTTAAGTGCCCAGATATAAGGGATGATGTAGTCGTAGAAATTTATGACAGCCATGGGTTCTCTTGTTTGTGTGGCATGGTGCAGGAGACATATTGCCAGTCATAGTGTCTTCCAGCAGACACCCTTTTGAGCCAGGATAGCACTACCTCTTGAAGACACTTGCTGTAAGCCTCTGTGTTGCCTTTGGGTTCCTGCGGGAAGATGAATGGAGGCATAACGTCGCCGTCATTAGTTTACATGTCAAACACCTTCATGATCACCATTGGACTCAACCAACTCTTCGGAATTCATTGCACTGTCCTCAGACTGAGACACAAACGCTCTGAAATATTCGTACAGTAGATTGCTATTTTAATATTTCTGGAGGAGTGAATTGCGTCATGGTGCTCTTTTCTCACAGATAATGTCCAACTAACCCTCCTATACGCTGCAGTCGACAAAATCAAAAACAAACAACGGGCATGCCCGAAATTAGCAATATAAAATTGAGACAATTTACCCATCAATATATATATATATATAAATATAAAAGTGAACATAGAAGTCAACACTTAGAGGCGACAGTCTGTTTCATTCTATATGCAATCGTCAGGCCACGTGTGCTGTTATTTTTCTCGGCTATTTATACATATACGGGTCAGTGGTGCATTGTGGGTAGTCTATTATGGCGGTTATTTTAAAAAAAAATGTTTATATCACTTATTTAATAGTTTTGTTTTGGTTTGAGAATTTAATTAAAGGTATTTGTTCTGTTTGGGGGTTGTTTGTTGTAGTTTTATTCTAACTATTATTTTGGCAGAAACAGTTTTTTAATTTGTGTTTATTTGGGTTGATTATCTATATTTGTTTTATCGGGATTGGTTAGTTTATTTATTTAGGTCAATTTATTTTACTTCTATATTTTCTCGTTTCGGTTTTCGATATTTAAGTAACGTAGTATTTATTTATTTGGTTTTTATTTTTATTTTATTTGATTTATTTATTTTTTATCGTTATATAACAGTTATAGCTATTTTTTCGTCCGATTTTTTGGTTTGATTTTTTAGTCTAACTAATATTTTGGTCGTAATGGTTTGCTACTTTGTTTATTATTTTCTTTATTTATTTGGGTTCGTTGTTTTTTGTTTTGTTTTTTTTGTTTTTGTTTTTTTTGTTATTATTATTATTATTATTCTATTTCGTCTATTCTAGCAGGTGTGATTTGGTAATTTGTTTGGATTAGTTAATTTTGCTTATTTTATTGTTATTTTGTTTACTTGTTTATTTATTTGTTTTTATTTTATTTTTTCCGTTTTCAATTTTTAAGTAACGTAGTAAAAATTTTTTTTCATGTCTGCATTTTGAGATGAGCTCGGATCTTTTATTTAATAATTTATTTTGGTCTGGGAAAGTAATGATAGCTATTTTTCCTCCAAACAAAGATTGCAAGTTTTTGATTAGTTGTTGTAGGCTGGTGATCTTTTCCTTATTTTCCAAGATATTTTTAGCGTGATGTGGGTTTTGTTTTTAATTTCCCAGATATACTTAGAAAGCATTGTACTGTTCGCATATTTACTATTTGTGAAAGATGTTTTGTGTGTATAATTTCTTTGTCTGTTTCATAGTCTTTCTTAGCTTCACCGTTTTTCCCGTACGATTTCATTTTTTTCTCTACTCCTCTCTCACGTGGTAAGTGACTTATGGACTGAACTGGATCATTTCTAAATGATCTCTTTAGCTCTAAGTTAAGATAATGATTCCACTTCCCGTTGTCACCTCCTGATCCAGTTTCCCTACTTTTAATATAATTTTAAAAACATTCTTTTGATGATTCTTGAATTAACTTTGACGATGGAAGCCTGTGAATGAATATTACCACCATTAAAGAAGGTCTGAATGGTATTTTCCTCTCCCCATTGCCCATTTGGAAAGATAGTGGACCTGGCACAAAAACAACTTTAACCTGTTCTCTTTTTAGGTGAATAACACAAAGTGTTTTTCAGTGATTCTCACGACAAATGGTGTAAAGATTGCTAAACGTCTTATTTGAAAACATGGAAAAGAGAAACAATTAGTTTACTTTTTTTTTTAGATATCAAACATTTTGTGAGATGTACAATTACGCTGCGACACTATCTGGGCAATTTTGCTATTACGCCCGGTGTATATATATATATATATATATATATATATATATATATATATATATATATATATATATATAATAAAAAAAGCTTAAACACGAATATTCCATGGTCATAATTTATTCCATTGGAATCGTAAATACGATCCAAATCATCATACCTCCTTCCTCTTGGAAAAATTTTTTTCTGAAAATATACATGTATGGGAATTTTTAGATATATTTTTCATATGTATGTATATTTTCCACTAATATTATCTCTCTCTCTCTCTATATATATATATATATGTGTGTGTGTGTGTGTGTGCGTATATATATAATTCTTGCATGAAACGCTTTTCTGAGGTATAAAATGTTATAATTATTCAATACTGAATAGAATGTTATATATATATATATATATATATATATATATATATATATATATGTGTATATATAAATATATATATATATGTTTGTGTGTTTGTGCGTGCGTGTGTTGTCCAACAGATAGAATTTTGTGCTGGTTGCAGTCAAGATATTCCCCATTATTTCTCTGCAAGCTGCTAAATTTCTTTGCCAAATAGGTTCCTTGGCAGCTCGACTTCTTAATGAACCACGAGAAACCACCTGACTATTTTGGAGGATTTCTTTAATGCTATCATCCGCGTTAACCCACTTGCCGTTTTGACAGCAACGGCATTATGCCAGGATTAAATTTATCGAATATATATATATATATATATATCTATATATATCTTCATATAAAAAGAATATACAAGCATATATATATATATATATATATATATATATATATATATGAATAATAAAAGAAAAATGGTAATCCGCATGGAATTTCCAATATATATATATATATATATATATATATATATATATGTGTGTGTGTGTGTGTGTGTGTGTGTGATTTACTTTTGAAAAGCTCGATGCCTATGAAATTTAGCTATCTAAATTGCGAATAAACTTCCAGAAACCTTGTTGCTGCAGATGAACAAAATATACAAAATATAAGCTATATCAAAGATTTCGACTAACATGTGTCATCATCAGGTGTGTGTGCATTAAATAAAAATAATTATACTCTGCAACTCAACTATACTTCTTAATGCTTTTCACCCTACTAGGCAATATAACGCGTGACCGTGACTCGTTACCGTTGCACGTAGCCGTAAAATATTTACTGTGATTCGCTTTATCTGATTCAATTTTAAAATACGACGTCACTTTGCAATTTAAAACACTTTTGATTTTCTTCAGCTCACATGGGCTCAATTTTTGATGATGCATAACTTAAATATTCTTTAATATTTTATTTCATTTTTTTGTTACCGTTTTGTTTCGTTTACTTGTTAGCTTATCTTCATGAATTTGATTACTTTATCTTTGATCTTACATTCTTCTTCCTTTGTAAAATAACAAAAGGAATAAATAAATATATGTCCTGTCCATAATCATATTTGGTTGGTGCATAATTATCAGGCATTTTGAAACAATATTTATTATGAAAAAAGAAGCATAATAATAACATTTTTAAATGATTACTCCGGAGCGTGTGTTTATCGACCCGCATTTTTATAACCTGAAAATAAAATCATATTTCTATTAAAAAAAAAGAAAACAAAACAGCAATTTTTATTAACAAATAACTCGCGTACAAAAACGCCTGATAATTATGCACCATCTCAATACATTCACAGTACATCCTAAAATGAACACGGTCATTTCAGAATAATATTCATACAAAGAAATCTGAAATTGTTGAAATTTATCAACTCCGTATATGTCACAAAGAATTGTTGGAACTGCTAGATAACTTTGATATTTTTAGGAAAGATATTAGAATAATCCAGAAACTATACTGGCAACAAACCAACTACATGCGGATAGAAAATGAATAAAAAAAAAAATGTATTCAGGAACAAGAATATTTTTTATCACTGGATTTGTTCAAACTACACTGTGAAGTGATTCTAAGAGAATTAGAAATTCTGCCAAGATTCATTAGTGGCGGCCACAATCTTAACCACATTAGATATGAAGATGACATAATGTTGGTAGCAGACACAGAAAAGGAATCTACAAGAAATCTTACAAAAGGTAGTGAAGGAAAACGAGAAACACCATTTGTAAGAATTTGGTGGTTAGCAAAAAGGAACCGCCCAACACAAACAGGAAATTGTGGCGAGCTATAATCGCCAACGGCCTGAAGGGACACAGCAAACAGAATAATAATAATAATAATAATAATAATAATAATAAGAAGAAGAAGAAGAAGAAGAAGAAAAAGAATAAGAATACTTAAATATCTTAGTTGTTATGGTCACAACGTTTTAGTCATTGTATTCTCCGGCATTCTTCAGGTGTCTTAAATCTGTATTAGTCATGGTTAATCCGAAGTGCTTTAGATGTTGACCAAAGTTGAAATGTCGAATAAGCTGAATTAGTCCTATGTACGCGTGATAATTCAGACTTTAACGTCAGCCTTGTGTTATAGTTCATTCAATCTGTAATAGTGTCCAATACAATGCATGATGGCAATTTCATACCAAACCTTTTATTCCATCAAAGGCTGTAGATAGTTTTCTTTTCGCTGTGATAGGAAATCTCGTACCCTTTCATTCTATACAATTCGTTATTCTGTTGTCACTTGTGCCATGTTTTTTTTCAGGACGTGAGTGATCATGGCTCTCCATAACTTTCTATCCTTCTTACGTGTAAGTAACATTTGTTTCTTTACTATACCTTCCAGTGTGCCACTCATTTAAACAAGCTCATTAGGTTACACTCAATTTTTCCTTCTACCCCTCTTGCTTTCACTGAATCTTTTGAGTGTCAAATTCGCCAAACCCTCATTTCTCATTATATTTCCTTTTTCTTTCCATTTTCATTCAGATATCTTCGTTGTTAACATGCTTCATCTTTTGTACGACTACGTCTAGGAATAAAACTAACGTCCACAACTTCTAACGATTCGCTTCATCATAGCTTTTTATCCTCCATAATACCAGAAATCCTAGCAACAGAATAAGAGAAAATGTAAATGTTTTCTTTTTACTTATAAGGGAGAGAAGACTTTAGTCTTCCTTACTTTAAAAGTATGCAAGATATGGGCTAATGAAACATAAGCCGTTGACGTGCATAAAATTCGAACAGAAGGAGTCCAGTTTAAGCTTTTATTTCCAGTGTACAGGATGGTCTGAAAGTCTTGTCATCACTATATGATATAATTTTCAATTTCAACGTTCTGTGCGGTATTATCAAGGAGAGAGTTTCATTTGAACGACATCAGAATACCTATCAGTTGTAGGACGTTCGTTCAAAAAGCCTTTGCAACTATCAACAAAGCACAGCTTTGTAAAATATAACACAAGACATGGAGCTTCATCATTTTGTGCCACGAAACTGATGGTATTCATAAAGACCTTCTCATTATGCGACAGCCTCAATGAAAGTAAATAAACCTGAATCGAGTACATGTGCTTTGTATTACTGTATTACTTGTTCTTCTATCGTTCTCTTTACTTTTTGGTAGGAGGTGACAAGATTTTCAGACCACAATGGCATCTTATCCATATAAAAAAATTATTTAATGTCTGAACGCGATTATGGTTATTGTTCAGAGTACATAAAATACATTTTCTAACAAAAAATACACAGTTCTAACTTAAGAAAGTAAACACATTTTACATTACTAAATCTTTCGATTACTTCAGGAATATATTGTTTATACGAGGCGGTGGGGGCTGAAAACTTATCTACTATATTCTCTTCACAAAATCTGTTCAAATCACAAAATAGAATTTGAGAGTTGGTCTTGGTTGGGCCGAGAACTTTTCAGCATCCACTAGAATAAAAAAAAATATTTCCAATAGCCATCTTGTATAAAAGAAAATGTGCTAAAAATTAAATCTAATTATTTTTAAGAAAGAAAAAATACACAAGTGTGACTCAAAATTAAAAAAAAGAGTTAATATTCGGAATTCTACCATGAAATCTTTACAGACATATGCGAATTCCTATATGGGATATGTCATTTTTTTTTTAGATTTTAAACTATCTTGTTAAAATTTAATAAAAATTCCAAGTGTTTAATTTAGTTTCCTTTGCTTTAAATGAGTTTGACGCATCACTATTTAAAAAAAGAAAAAGAAAAATAATTGACTAATTGAAATAATTACAAACGGTAAAAAAAGAATTCTTACGAAAATATGCCAAATGAAAAACTAAAATCAGTCGTCATAGTTTATTGACTTAGTGTGGGGGGAGGAAGTTGAGTGGGAGTAAAAGTTTTGCAGGCAATGAAAGAACAGGCATCGATTACCGTTACCATGGAAGATTGATTGATTGCTTTTGTTTAGCGACATAGCAACTTCTCTGGGTACTTAATACCAAAATCTAAATATTTCATATGCAATTTTTTTTATTTGTTTTTATTAGATAATAATGGTTTTAATGATACAAGTCTTACAAGATATTTGCACATGAGTGAATATTTGCACGTGAGTGAATATAACGAACCCAAAGGGGACTGGAAATCGGCTCACCAATTAACAATTCCGGGCCATTATCCATTACACCACCCGCACATCCAAACTTACAGCACCTGGTATTCGCAAGCGGTCACTCATCTAGGGTATTGATCAGGCTCGATGTTGCTTAACTTTGGTGATCGCATGGGAACCAGCGTTTAAAACTGATGTCACCATAGATCACATCAGGTTGAAACATCGGTTTTCGTAAGATCACCAAAGTTAAGCAATGTCGAGCCTGATCAATACCTAGATGAGTGACCGCTTGGGAATACGA